TATAACAGCTTATATTTATGTAATGTTTAATGTTAAGGAAATATTGACATAAGTTGCAATGTTTTTGATCTATTATCACGGCACAAAACATTCTGGTGAGTTATTTCCTTTTTCTTGTTTCTTTTTTGTTGTTTTTGTTCTGCTTTTTCTTTGTCTATACCTTTAAATTCTAGATTTCCTGATGGATTAGCAAACTCTTTGACATATTGTGTATTGACACTTCTTCCAAAAATTAAATCTTAATGTCAAATATTGCAAAGTAATTCTCCAGCATAATGAAAGTTTTGAAGGGCCAACTCTGAATCGATAACTTTGCCTTATGTATTTATATGTGATCTAAAGTGATCAATTGGTAGTGTGATATCTGCTAATTTTTCAGAAAGTGTTGCTATGCCCCTTTCTACTGGATTATATTTAGACTGTCTTGAGACATGTATTCATACAGTCAAATAATCTAAATTGAACTTCTGAAAAAATTGACAGTATGTTTTAATATTTTTTAGATGTCTCAGATTCTTGTCTGATCTTTCATCTACCAATAACACCCAGATAGGTCAAGTTTCTCTATTGGTTTTCAACACATCATCATATTGAGGATCTAGGATAAGGCTTTCGAGATTTTGCATGTGTGTGAGTAAAGATGTATCAAAGGACCATTGACAGCGTACAAAATTAGTAAATTGTCCTATTCATAACTTATCATTTAACTCATTTGGTTTGATCATAAAATAAACTGATAGAACTAATTTTTGCTCACTTCCTAGAGGAAAATCATGTTCAGCTACACTAATAAGCTTGTGAATTAACTGTAATATGCAAAATGTCTAACTTATAGCAGGTATCCTAAGTCCTATCTTCACCTTATTATCTTGAAAAATAATAACGAAATTATCAGCAAAGACAGTGGCAAATTGTTTTACGTATTTAACAGATGCAAGACAATAGTGACCATCAGAATAATCCTGTGTTTCAGTATGTGCAACTCCAGCTACTGCAACCTATACTGAATAGTGATGTACTCTTGTGATAATGAAGTTGAATTGGTGAGGTAGCAGATAATTATTCAATATTGTTCTCGTCATATAAACATTATAATTCTCTTCAAGGTTTTTACATAAATTTTCAATAATTCGTATTTTAACCACTTCTTTTCATCATTTTTCATCAGCTGCTCTAAATTTGATCGAATCATGAATATGATCGTGTAAATTCAGATGTTCAAAAATAAATGAAAGACAGCTAGGTTTATCATATAATATTACTTCCTTATTTTTGATAAGTGATTTTCTTTTTTTTCTTGCATTTTTGAGCATAATTAGCATTTCTTTTTAACTTAATGATTCTTTTTCTGTTAAATTTGATTTCAGCTTGAAGACTCTTAATTTTTAAATACATATTATGCTGAAATTGAGAATTTGTCGTGACGTTGTAGATCTGCTCAAATTTGACAAGCTTTTTTTTTAGCTGTTAATATTTCTTGCTGCCCTTCTTTGTGCTGATGTATTGATGGAGATGTCTGATACAAGATTGACTGAGCAAATCGTAAGTAAAGTAGGAAGAGAAGGAGTCAAAATTTCTCTAAATACAGAAAACCTTGGTCTCATTGTTGGTATATTATATAGATTATATGGTATAGCCAGATAATCTCTAATAATATCTTTGATTTTCTCCTTATTCTTATTTTTGATTTTGCTTTATTCTTTTACTGCTGCATCACAAACTTTAGTACAGTTAGGAGTACCATTTCCTGTTTTAACCATAATACTATATACATAAGCGTTAGTAAATTCTTGGTATTTATTTGTTGGTGAATTATATACTGATTTCTTATTAAATTTGGGGTTAACAAAAAAGGTTTGATTGCTTATTTTTGCACTGAAAATAAAATTATTGACGCGTTTATTTATAAAAAAGTGTTATAATCAAAATGTGAAAGTTGGAACGTGTCATGAAATTTTATAGCAATCTGAATTTCTTTTTTTGTAGCAAAATATTTCTCCTCTGCAGCAATTCGAATTTCTTTTTTTGTAGCGAGAGAATGCAAAATTATTCCTTCTGCAATAATACGCAGTAAGATATGATCACCATAAAGAGATGATCGACATTATATTTTTTCTTTAGATTGGGATTTTGAACACTTGAAATCTTTAAATATATATTTTTTTGAATGTAAAATAGACTATTGTATAATAAACTTTCTATTTTATTATTTTACTTATTTTTAATCCTTTTAATATTTTACAACTAATATAATATACTGATATATAAATTCTATAAAAGGAAATTAATCAACATGCACGTGATCAGAAATCTTACCTGTGGTATCTCTAATAAAATGATATTAGGTAATATATGTCATTGCCCTTATAGATTTAACTAGAAATCATTTTTTACTTAATAAAGGAATATATTAGAATAATAATTCGCACCAAATCATCATGTCGATCAACCAATGAAATCTAACTTAACGCGACGCGCCAAAAGATTCAAAAAGAATGTCTTCAACACGAAAATTGACTCGTCTAAATCCTAAGTTAGGAAAGAAAACAATTTATAAGCTCAATTGTTTTCCACGTACACCAGTTAGTACAACGAAGGAATTATTCAGTCGCACCGAACTTGAGTTGGTAGAATGTTGTAATTTTAAAGTTGAAACCGTAAGAAATCTTCAAATACGAGCTGCCAGATGGATTACACCAGAATTCGTATCTGTATGTATATCAATCTTTAATAATATAATTTTCAAATTGATAAAAATTATTTAATATTATCAAATGTTAACAGGTGATGGATATGATCATGGAAAATACTTCACCATTCTTGGCAACTTCATTAAAAGGTTTAGATGAGGCTTTAGGTGGTGGAATACCATTCTCTTCCGTTACTGAGTTCGTTGGACCAACTAGGTCCGGTAAAACACAGTTATGTTTGACCCTTTCAGTATTGGCGACATTACCAGAAACTATGGGCGGACTTGGTGGAGGGGTGTGTTATATCGATACTGAACGAAGTTTTAACGCGGACAGGTAAAAGGAAAAGGCACGCAACAAGTCAGATTCCTTTTTTTTTTTTGTTCTGATTCGACTTTGTTATAATTTAGGCTTATAACTATAGCTGAGAATCGATTTCCTCAATACTTTGGTAAAGATGAACAAGGTCAAGCCAATCTTGATAAAATGGCATTGTCCATTCATAAGATGGATATTGCGTCTTCAAAAGATTTGATAAAAAGGTAAAAAAGAAGAAATTTTCAAAAAAGAAAAAATATTTAAAGATTTTAAACTTCATAACTAAATCTTACTTCCCTTTTTAGATTGGATGAACTTCAAGAATTCATAATTGAAAATGATGTTAAATTATTAATAGTAGATTCGATTGGATCACTTGTTAGAAAAGAATATCAGAATCCCGTAAAGCAATATGGATGGGGAGGGCCTTTGGTGGAAAGAAATGACGTGTTACTTCAACAGGCATCCAAACTGAAGAATTTATTATTTCCTTAAAATTTCGATTCGTTTTTATTTTTATTTTTTAACGCAAGTTATGTTTAACACGTAAATTTTTTTTTTTTATAGATATTTGGCCGAATCATTTCATATACCTATAGTAGTAACAAATCAAGTGATCACTAGGAATCAAAGTGAAACCGTATTACCAAAAGAATGTTCTCGTCCGATCAAAAAGTCGCGCGAAGGAGGTATTTTCAATCTTAAAATTTTTAAGGAAAATATTTAATTATAAATTAATTTTTTTTAAATTGAACAAGGTCCAGAAATTACTGCAGCATTAGGAAATACTTGGGCACATTCTGTTACTACACGTATAATGTTGAATACATTTCATATTAGAAATTTATCAAATATGAACTTTACAACATTGAATAATTTATTTCCGGCAAATTTGCAAGAATTAACTATTGTAAAATCTCCTATTGCTGCAAATATTACAATTTATTATACTATTGAGAACGAAGGAATCGTGGAATTCATTTCGTCAAAAAGCACAGAATATAACCAAAAAGTTGGCATTATGGAGGAAATTGATATGTGTGACGCAGAGCAAAGTAAACTATCGAGTAAAAAGAAAAAATCTGACGTTGCTGAATGGTTTATATCAAAATTGTGGGCATAATCTTTGCGGTTGCTAGGTTCATAAAACGTAATTATAATAATAATAAAATAAAAAAAAAAAAATAAAAAAAAAAAAAATGGTTGCAACCATTTTTGTAACCATTTTCTTCGAGATAAAAAGCAAAGCTATGCTTTTATAATTTATTCTCTTCCTAACTTCTTTAACCTGTCCGTGGCAATACTCATCATATCCGATAAACCTCTTTTTAATTCTTCTTCAATATTTCCTTTTGTTATTGCGTCTTGTAAAATAGGAATAAATTCTCTTCTTGATTTACCATTAACAAAAATGACAAAACGGAAGCCAAACTTTTCTTCATATTTATTATTTAATTCTTTTAATATTGTATCAATAATTTCATCTTCATCTAAAGAACTTGATTTATTTTGACTTGAATTATAATTTGCTGAAGACTTGAGATAACCTTGTTCTTTTAAAGAAAATGAAGAAAGGTTATTTTTGTTTTCACCTAAACGTGGATGAGCATTAATTATTTCTAATTTTTGAGAGATTGGTAATTCAGTATTTTGAATAAATTTTGTTGCCGAGGAAATTAACGAATTATAAGATGTGTATGGACGAGAAGAGTATAATGAATTTGCCAATGGTGGAGCTGATTCGAATAACACGTTTATTGAACTAATAAATTCATCATATGAAGATTCATTTAATTCGGAGATTGGTGGTAAATTCATTTCTTCGGTTAAGGTTTAAAAAAAAAAATAATTCAAAGAGTAGATGTTATTTTATATTGTGACAATTCTGCATGTTGATCAATGTTGTTGATTACGTAATTTGTTTTTTTTTTTATAAAAAAAACCGAATTTTTTTTTTTTCTTTTTTAAAAAAAAAAAAGAAAAAAAAAATTGATGGATGAATCAAATAATTTAATATTAAATTTTATCACGGATGATGTTCCTATTGATGAAAGTCCTAGTTTAAGATCAAAATTAAAACATATCGGGGGAAGTTGGAAAAATAAAAAGAAAGTTCGAAAGTTAATAAAAAAGAATTCGCAAGTCCATTCTCAAAATAGCTCAATTGATAGATCACAAAGGACAAACAACACCGAAAATCAAGATGAATCAATTCGGGAAAATAATTCGGTTCCAGGAAATTTCATAAATTTTCACAATATTAACGTAGATACTGGAAATCATCTTAATTCTCAAAAAAGTACATATTCTCGAGATAATTCAAATACTCAAAAGAAATTAAATAGCAAAACTCAAATCATCTCATCAATCTTCAGTTATAATCCCGAAATCCCAAAGATTACGGATGATGATGATGATAATGTATCACCAACTCGAAGGTCAACTACAGATCATGAACCGAGTAATGGACCAATAAATGATACTTATTCATTTAAAAGTATGGGTTTAAATAGCGATTTGGTTGAAAATATTAAAAATAAATTGGGAGTTGAGAAACCAACGAATATTCAACGTAGAGCGATTCCCATCTTAATGTCTTCCATAAGCAATAACGAAAGCAAAGAAGAAAATTTTGATGTTGTAGTCCAAGCTGAGACAGGATCTGGCAAAACTCTGACATATTTATTTCCAATAATACATCAATTAATAAGCATTACGGCTGATATTCAGGATAATAAAATACTTTCACGTTCAATTGGAACTTTAGCAATTATATTGACTCCAACACGTGAATTAGCGATTCAAATCTTATCAGTATTAGAGGCTTTAATTAATATTCCATCTTCAAAGCAACATCATTTAGCTCATTGGATCGTTGCTGGTAGCGTCATTGGTGGCGAAAAGAGACAATCCGAAAAAGCTAGATTACGTAAAGGGATAAATATTTTGGTTTGTACTCCTGGTAGACTGTTGGATCATTTACAAAACACGAAATCTTTTTTGGTGGAAAATTTATGCTGGTTAATACTTGATGAAGCTGATCGTCTTTTAGAATTGGGATTTGAAGAAACTCTACAATCAATACTAAAAATTTTAGAAGAAAAAAAGAATGGTTCTCAGCCTTTCCCCTCTACTAAATTTTGGCCAAATAGAAGACAAACAGTTCTTTGCTCAGCTACTTTAAAGGATGAAGTTAAGCGATTGGCGGGATATGCTTTATCCAATCCCATTTTCATCGGAGGAAAGAATGATGAAATTTCTCCTTTAGGAGAGAAGAAGGATGAGAAGAGTCCAAAAGAAACAAAGTTCAGCACACCTAATCAATTGAAACAAACTTATGTCATAACACCAGCAAAATTACGTTTGGTTACTTTAACGGCAATTCTAAAATCCATTTTCAATGTCAAACGAACAGAAAGTTTCATGAATCACAAAATTATAATTTTTATGTCAAGTTGTGATTCGGTAGATTTTCACTTTGATCTGTTTACTAAAGCCGGAAGGATTAGCGAAGAATTAACAGAAGATGATGACCAATCGATTTCTACCATTGCAGTCATTCCTGGGGCGAAAATATTTCGATTACACGGTGACTTATCGCAAAATGTTCGTACAAAAACATTTAATGAGTTCAATCAGACAGATTCTGGCATATTATTTTGCACGGATGTTGCTGCAAGAGGTCTCGACCTTCCAGACGTCGCAAAGATCATCCAATATGACCCACCAACGGATTTAAAAGATTACGTTCACAGAGTTGGTAGAACTGCAAGGTTAGGTAAAGAAGGTGAAGCTATATTATTTTTACTTCCAAGTGAAATTGAATATATTCATGTTCTAAGGTCACAAGAAATTTATGCTGAACCTGTTCAAGTTGAAACGTTATTAGAAACTCTGACAGTTTCAGAGAAGAGGAACAAGGAGGGGTATGAAAAAATCGCAGCCGACCTTCAATTACAATTCGAAAGATACGTTCTTTCAAATTCCGAGGTGAGCCTTGACAAAACATAATTTCTTTTATTTATATATATACGTGTCATTAACAAAAGGATTGATTATTTTTCAGTGCATCACATTAGCTCAAAAAGCATATTCATCACACATCCGCTCATACGCGACGCATACAACCTCGGAAAAACGGATTTTTCATGTGAAGAAATTGCATTTAGGTCATGTAGCAAAAAGTTTTGGCCTACGAGAAACGCCATCAAATATCAAGAATGAAGTGGTCTCCCCTTCGAATAAATTTGACGATAGGAAGAATGTTTATAAAAAGAAAAATATCCCCAATAAAGAAGGAAAGTGCAATCAAAGGAATATTAAAAAAAGAAATTTTGAAATAATGAACGAGTTTTCGATTGGAAATTATGAAAGTATGATAAGACCAATTACAAGAAGAAAACGAAAAAGAAAATAATAGTAATAAAAAAAAAATTTTTTTTTTAATCTGTCCGAACAAAAAAAAAAAAAAAAGATTTAGATGTTTACAAAAATGGAATTTGCTTGACAACATGACAGGTTTTTTTTTTTCTTTTTTTTTTTTTTTTCGCAGATCTATAAATGTGAAACGTGTAATAAAAATACCACTTATAGTATACAATACATCCTTGGGAAGTTCAGTTTGTGATTCTTGAGAAAATTCTGAAATCAATTAAGACTTTTATGGTATCAAGTCCATTCATCTGTTTGTTAAATGAAAGAAATCAAACTAGTTTTGACATGATTTGTTTACGTGATATTTGATGCACCCCAAATAAATAATTTCCTTGATAAGTAAGATAAACAATAACTTTTGAGTCAAAGTTAATTTAAACACACATTAAAGGTATATGTAAAAAACCCCAAACCTGAAATAATGTCACGCGATTAAAGTTACCAAATTGCGGTATTATTTATGTAAGCTTATAAATTGGAATTGATGGATGATAACCGAGCTTCATCCTTCAACCTAATTTAAAATATCCACACGAAAATTCAAGGTGATGGACTTCGATCCTTTCGTAATGTATAAATTTTTTTCATAAATGATTTTTTTAAAATAACTCTAGTAAGTTACAAAAGAAGCCTCGATAAAAAGTTTAGTTAACCAAGGACGATCGAACGGATGTAGGGTTAGGGCTAATGATCATGTAATATTTCTACAAACGAAAGGGATGAAAATTAGCATTTTCCCGAAATAAACAATTCATTTGTCGGATGAAAAGTTTGTATTTAGGGGTGAAGTATTGTATAAAAAGGATTTTATCTTCATATGATAGTAATTTGAATTTCACTTTCAAAGTGAAAACTTTTTTCGTGCCATACCTTTTTCGCGTCTTTTTTTTTTTTTTTTTAATTTTTCACATTTTTTTTTTATCTTTTTTTTTTATTATTATTCCTTTATACATTTCTCTCCTTTTATCGAAAATTTCCTTTTATTCCTTCGACTTTGATACTTCATCCTCGATATTTAATCATAATGGAACGATTTTTCTTAGTTAAGCCTTGGATAAAGAAAAAAGTGTTATGTTACCTATTAAATGAAGAATATAATAAAACGCCAGTTAGGGCACAAGTTTTACGGGTAAGTTGATTTTTTTATATCTTTTATCTGATGCAAACAATTTTAGAAACACATCATTAGCTATCAGACAAATATTTGACTTTTTTATTTGAACCGGGGGTTTTTTTTTTGTCGGTCACGTCATACCGTCTAGTTTACTAATTCTCAAGAAGAATTAGAACCAAATGAATTAGTGTCAGCAGAAATTCACGACAATCAACATTTTATTAAATGTCTTTTTACGAACGAAAGCGTTCTTGATTTTGAATGGTTTGTTTTTTTTTAAAAAAAAAAAAAAAAAAAAACGATGGTAGTCCCGTTTTATCGTCATTTTTTTTTTGTATATATATTAAAGTTTTGATTACCAAATTCTTTATTTATCTAAATTAAGAAAAAAGAATTGATTTCTGAATTTTCTTCTTGCAGAAAAAAAAACAAGTTTTTTTGAAACCACGAGAATTTTAACCTTAATTATAAAACTAATATTTTTTTTTTTATTTTTTATTTACGACGCGTCCGGTTAAAAAATTATCATTATAGGAAAAATTTTATGGAAATTAATGGTATAAAGCGAGCGTTTATCATAATAAAGGATTACACAATTTCATGCGAAATTGATCCTAAAAATAATAAAACCGAGTGTTTCCTAATGATAAAATATTTTACTTGCAGTAAAAATATTCCTGAAGAAACAGAAGGAAAATCCTTTTTACATATTTGTGAAGAGATGGAAGTTAAAGAGTCCCTTCAAGCTCAAGTTGTTAAAGATAAAAAACAAAGTCCCCTTGACCATCCTGGTTGGAACGTAATATTTAATTTTTTTTTTTTTTTTTAAAAAAAAAAAAAAAAATACAGTATATATTATATATATATATACCAAAAGAATTGAAAAACAAAAAAAAAAAAAAAACGAATAAAAAATGAAATTTTATGTAGGATTTTGGGACCATGTTTTATAGTAATTCGGTTGACATTCATATTATTCCACCGGATCAGTTAAGAACCATGAGAAATATTCCGGGTAATTAAAACAATACGTTTTTTAAACTTTTCAATCTTTCCTTTTCATTTCTCACGTTTAATAAATTTTAACTAGGGTGGAATTTTTTACCGAGAAATAATAATGGTTTGTATATATTTTAGCTCGAATATATATTTTACATAAAATTAATATTGCATTTTGATCGGTACCAAAAAAAGACGAAGATATATCTAGTAGTAGTGAAGAATACGAAACCGAATCGTCCGCATCTACGGAGTGGAACCCCGGTTCTCCAGAATGTATGTTTATTTTATCTTATCTGAATATCTAATCAATTAATTAAATATTAAATACTTTTTGTTTAGCATCACGATATGACTCGGATGGGAAAATTAGCCTTAACGATGAAGATTTCGCCATTATAATTAAAGGAAATTATTTAAATTCTCAGCGGTCAAGTGCTGAAGAAGAGGAAAATGAAAATAATCGAGCGGACACTGTGAAATATGAGGAAGCTCATTCCACACAAAATAAAAGAAAGAATCTTGAAAAGGATTCTGATGACAGTGTAGCTATAAAGAAACAAAAAAAATTCTATGACTTCTTTCTGTAGTTTTGTTTAAGGTTAGTGAATATTATTTTTGCATTTTTGAATTTGTTTTTTATTAGTTTACCAAAAGATCTTTATTTTAATTTTTTTTTTTTCTTCCTTTCAATGTTTAGGAACTGATTAAAATTATTACAAGCATGTAGTTATGGATTAATAATTATAATAATTGTGAATTATATAAATGTCAAATGAAAATTGTGAGCGTTTGCAATATTAATATATTAAAAGATCTAAAATTTTAAATATGAAAATGTGTAATGTAAATTCAAAGAGAAATTAGAATATGTACCGGTAATTTTTCTTTTAATAATTAAACCATTTATTTTCCCTTAAAAAAAAAAAAAAAAAAAAAAAAAAGGAAAAATTCGGATTTCCTTTGTCAAGAAATTTTCATATTACGTTTAAATATATTTTGTATATAAATGTCGTCCATTGTTTTAACAAACCATGAATCTTTGACATGCAATATGATAAGCCATGTTATAAATATTAATGAGGAGAAGTATAATAAATATGTATATCTCACTCCATATAATAATGAATAGATTGTTATTATTAATAACAATATATTAGTTGTAAATCTTGATTTTCTAATAAAAAAAAAAAAATTTATTTTTTTAACAAAATAATAATTTACTATTAAAAACAAAACAATTTAATTTACCTTCCAGTTGTTCGAGGTAACTTATATCCAATAGTTATAATTTGGACATAAAATATAATTGGTGCTATGGCCAAGATACTATGATCCCATGAAAATGGTGCAAACCAATTAACTGACATATTCCTTATCCAGACCATTAAAACAGGTATATTAAATGGCAATAACATAAATAATAATAATAATATTGATTGTTTATAGTGATAATTATCCCAGCTTTCTTGAACATTCGTTGATTTATACTAATATATACACATATTTTTAGAAAAAAAAAGTAGAAGTCATAATGATAAATAATATATCGGGACAAATAATAAAAAATATCATAATATATCTTTTTTTTACTTACCCCTGATCGAGCAACTATTAACGATTTAACACATGATACAATATGAACAAAAAATGCAACGAGAAATGCAAATTGATACGGTACAAAAGATGCAACAAGAATTAAAAGTATCGTTATTGTAATTACACGCCTTCTCAATTTTGAAGCCTTTGATTCCGAAGGCCTATATCATGTTGGCAAGATTAAGTTAAAAAGAATGATTTACGTAGATGGATAAATAAAAGAGATATATGTGTTGAACTTACCTATGTTTTGTAAACAAATTTTGTCGACTCATGAAAACAGCAGCTCCAGCAAAGGCCTTTATAATGATTGTTATAAGTACCCAGAAAAATGCAGTTATGCCAATACTCATTAGAAAAAATAATGGTGGTAAAAACCAGAAAAAGGGATCCTGAATTCCGAGTAATGTATCATTAACATTAAATGATGATTTTGCTTTAATAACTTTTTGCATATCTCCTGACGCATAATCCATTGGAAATAAATCTACTAGTGAATATGTTTTCGAAGCTCGAGAGACAGACTGATAAATAGATAATGCTGACACCATAATAATAAATTTCAAAAATGTTTGTCGAATAAAAAGTGTCAACCCACATCCAAAGCTCATAAAGGGCTCTAAACAAAAAGATAATAAAAGTAAATAAAGAGAGGAAAGTTTTGAAATAGCAATAAATACTTACCACCGCGATTATATTCTCTAAACTGCGCCCTTAGAGTCATAATAACTATAATAAAAGGAAAAGCAACGATAATGGTTTGAAACCGCATAACTATTTTACCAAGACTTCCATATAAATCCCATTCGATATCTATTGTTAATGGAATTGAACATGTAGGATCCATCCAAAATTGTAATTCAAGTCCTTTACGGAAATTGGGTGCATTAACAGGTGTCACAAAAGGAGATTGCCCGTGAATATTCAAATTTGCATATTCAATGTTGACAAGAAATTTAGATTCGTACATAGACGAAATAGACTGACGTACAAACAATGCAAAATGTTGTTCTAACAAAAAATAAATTTTTTAGTACGATAAATAAAGTAGAATATTATAAATAAAATATAATGAAAACATCGTTATTTTACCTACACATCCTGTACGACGAACCGACATTTTATATGTCATTAAACTACTATCAATAATTGGAATGCGTAAAATTGATACCATGGCTTGGTGTTCGGGAAATCCATCAATATGAATTCCATCAATTATAAGATCTGAACATTAAAAATAACAAGTATTTTAATCTTAATGATTTTGATAGATTTTCATTAAAAATATATATATATATATCATCCAGACCTTTCATAGATGAGTTATTCAAATCCATCATTGTTAACCTTTCATCAAAGAATTCCCCAATTAAGAATCCCTCCATAAAAGCCTTATTCTGAAACATAATAGCGATATATTGATAATCCCCCAGATCACTAACATTTAATTTTAAATAATTAAATGTTAAACCAGAAAACGGATGTTTCAAATCTCTTCTTGAAGCTGGCAATAAAGATACTTCATTAGATGCTATGTGACAAGAAAGTCTTGGAGCTGTAGGTAAATCTATATTTAAAGATGAATGTTCATCTTTATTCTGATGATCCGGAACCTCTGTTGGCATTACATCACATAGAAGAATTTCTACCCCAGGATCTTTTGACAAATATTGGTCTGTCAATAAAGAGAATGTTGAAACTGGTTCTACTGGCGGTATTGGCATCAAGTATACTTGAGATGTTAAATTCCACTTATTTAAAACTATTCTCTGTCCCATATCTAAAAATTTGTATGACACCTTTTCTAAATTTAATATTCCAAAAAACTCTAATTGATTACAAATATAATATGATATTCCCCCCAAAATGTATTTATTAATTATTAAATTAATGATGATAATAATAAATGGATTATGATAAATATTTATTTTTATTACCTCTCTTGGGCTTATTTAATCTTAAATCAACTGGATCTTCAAGTCCAGTCAAATAAAATTTTCGAAATGCCGCCATTCTTTCTACGCTTGTTTTTGTTTGTCCAGGATGTCTAATATCGACAATACTTAATAAAGAGGTTGCCACAACTTTGACCAATTGTTTGCACCATAAAATGGCTTGATGATCCATTGACGTCCATACATTAGGAATAGACGTGGTAAAAACAGTAAAACCATGAGATGCAGGCACAAGTGAATTTATATTGGCAGAATCTGAACATACAATAGTATCCAAATTTCCACCAGCAATAGATATTAAAGTAACGTCCGCCAAAGAATTCGCAGAAGTTGCACTTTGAGAATAACCATTTCTCCAAAACTCATTAATGTCAGTATAAATCTTGCTGATTTGCCAATCAAATGGAAAAGGCGGTAAAACATGTGGAGTTGCCAGTGTTAAAATGGTATTTATAGATCCAGGTTGGTAATTTGACATTGTAAACAAAGTCCTGGCAACTACACCACCCATTGAATGTCCGATTATAATAACAGAAGTCGGATCCGGATGTGGTGTTTTAGTAGTATTCTGGGTTTTTCGTGTCAATGGATACAATGATAAAATATATCGAATCGCATCATTAAGATATTCTGCCTGTTCATTCAGAGAATGCCCATGAAGCGCAGAAAATTCTTCATTAAAATCAACTTTAATATATGATGTCATAAGAAATAGAAACTATTTTGAATAATGAATATTACTATAAATACAAATCATTTCGAATTATAAAAACCCAGATTTTCTACCTGTAAAAAAATCAAGCGCGCTAACGCCCATTTCAAACGATGCTGGGTCTCTCGAAAAAACTTCAGAGAAAATCACTGATGTCTCTGAAGCTATTGAACGAGCTTGTTTATAGCTACCAGCATTACCTGGAATAAAAAGGGCCGGAATTCCAGTTGGCTGTATATTTTCGTTAGAAAATTTGGTAAAGTAGCTTTAAAAGTGAACGAATTAATTTTTAAAAGTAGTTTCGTACCTGATCATTATCGTAAACTCGATCCCTGTAAAGATACAGACTATATTTTCCAGCAAATCTTGTTTGTTCACTATCAAAATTATCTTGTCTAATATATGAAGGGTACATACTCGAAATATTACAACCTTTAGGATCTCTTTGATGGTAAAAAAATGAATGCATAATCATACCCCCAAAGATAATTGTTATTAAAAATATAATTACTATGGAATAAGAAAATGATAGTGATGCTGAAGAATTTCGCATTGAGAACGAAATTCCAAGTTTCCATGGCGTTGAAAAATGGTTCGCAAAAGAATTAGTCGAAGTTTTAATGTTATTTTGAAAAGTATTATTTAAAAATGAAGTCTCAGATGAAATTGGGGAGGGAGTTCTATCTCCCTGGAGTTGATCGCTCTGTAAGGTGTCGACTTCTTCATAACGATGTGACCCTATTTCGAGTGATTCCCGCTCTTCTGTTTCAAGAAATCCCATTTTTTTTTCCACCTTTTTTTTTTGTTCTATGATACTGCTACTTGAGTTTCCACTTCCTTCGAAACATGAGACAAATTTCAACTGATTTGATTTATTCTCAAAGTGTGTTTGTTACAAATTATATAGCTGAACGGAAACTCGAAGGTAACTCTTAAGAAAGTTCTCTTTAAATTTTTCCCTGTCAGATTACACGAAAAAATGCTGCAATATAAAAGGCAGTGTATAAGTTAAAAATCCGAAAGGCATGGCACTTAGATGATCTATTATAGTAAATCCGATATATAGTAGATAACAAAGATCTTATTTGATATATTTGATATCACAGGTTCTAACTGTTCTCCAACCTACAACCATGTCGGATTATTTCTCAAAAGCGGCTGCATTCGCGCAAAATGCAGCAAAATTATCTAAAAAAGTTTCGGAAGGGATTGTTGAAAATGCGCGTGAATTTGGATTGGAAGCAACTTCCTCGGGGCATTATTTTGACACCTCAGAAGAAAAAATGAGAGATATAAAACGACAATTAGATTCAAGGCATGACAG